CCACTGAGCCCCTCTGTCCCCCTGAGGAAACAGAACACTCCCTCCACGCAGGACATACCTAGTTCCCTGGCAGGCAAGGACTTCCAACTGAGGCAGTGTACAAGTGGTGGGGAGAGGCAGCCAGCACCTCTGGTCTAGGAAGTGTGTGGTTCCCTCCTCCCCTGTCTGGGAGGATGGAGGGGAGGAATTGAGGCCTTAGCTTGCCCCCTGTCATTCTTCCCCCTTGTAGATACTGCCTTAACACTCCCTCAACCCTCAGCTCTGGCTGCCACCCAGCCAGGTTTCTCCGTGCTCACTAATTTATTTCCAGGAAGGTGTGTGGAAGACATGAGCCGTGTATAATATTTTTTTTAACATTTCCATCGCAGTATTGACCATCATCCTTGATTGTGTATCGTGTAACACAAATAATGATATTAAAGGCATCAAACAAGTCAGCCTCAGCTCCCTACCTGGGGTGTGGGCCAGGGCCAGGTGGGCTGGAAAGGGGAGAAAACGGATCCTCTGAATGCACATTTCACTCTACCTCCACTCATGGGTTCCCAGGCCAAGCCTGCCACTGACCTGCTACATCACCCCATTGAGTCACTTGACCCCTTGGAACCTCCACTTATCTTCATCAAAGTGAGAAGGTTGGCCTCGAAGATCTCCAGGGACCCTCTGAACTCTTGAAAATTGGGTTCTTTTGAGAGACTTGAGGGAGGAAAAGGCTGGAGCAGGAAGAGAATTGGACCTCCTCACTTCCTCAGGGCTGGGACTAAGCCAAGTGATATCATAATGGGCAGTGCCCATCCTGGAGGGGGTAGCAGGGTGGGGTAGGAGCAGGAAAGCTGTGAGCGAGGGAAGTTGAGAGTTCCTCCATAGAAGGGAATCGCAGCAGCTAAGGGCACCTGCCGGGCTGGAGGTGTGGGCGATCTGGAAGGGGGGGAATCACTGATGGTTTGCAGGAGCCCTTGGTAGGTAGAGCCCACCTGGGCATTCCCTAGACCCCACTATGTTCCTCTTCTCCCGAAAGACCAGGACCCCCATCAGCACCTACACTGACTCCTACAGGGCTCCTAACTCCATCAAGAAGGTCTATAACGACCCACCTCTGTGGGCCTGGGAACCCAACAAGTTTGTGAGCCGGGTAAGTAGAGGTTGGGGTGGGGGACAGGGGCAGGCTAATGCGTATGGCCATGCATGTCTGGATGGACTGGCACTGTGTGGTTATAGTTACTTTTGTAATTATTTGTAGCTTTGCATGTGTGTTTTTTATTCTTTTGCCTAGATGTGGAATTTATAATGATATATAAAATAATGCAAGATCCTGCTTTCATAGTGCTCTGCTACACCAAGTTAGGAGATGTAAGGAGTTAGATAAGTCAAGGAATAAACAAGACTTTTATAAATTATCCAAAATGCTATAAAGGAAGTAAACAGGGTAGTGGAAATGGAAAGTAACCAGAGAGAGTTACTCAAATAGAGGTCATAGAAGACCTAGATGAGAGCCAGGTGAAGAGCTGAAAGAATAGGGTTCCAGGCAGAATGATCAGAACGTGCAAAGGTCCTGAGACTGCCTGAGGGATATGCCAGAAAATGTCCAATAGTCATGTTTTTGTGCATGCATATCAGGCTCCTTGTATCTGTCTATGCCACTTGCACAAAATGGAGAGATCTGTGAATCTAATGGTGACTGTCTAAGGCAGCGGTTCTCAACCTGTGGGTTGCAATCCCTTTGGCAGTCGAACGACCCTTTCACAGGGGTCGCCTAAGACCATCCTGCATATCAGATATTGACGTTACGATTCATAACAGTAGCAACATTACAGTTATGAAGTAGCAACGAAAATAATTTTATGGTTGGGTCACAACATGAGGAACTGTACTTAAAGGGCCAGAAGGGTGAAAACCACTGCTCCAAGGGAAATTAGCTGTATGCACCATCCAACAAACTTTGTTGGGGATCTACATGTGCCAGGCTGTCTTTCAGGAGCTCTCAGCACACAAGTGAATAAAGTAGGGTTGTGCTGTGTGGAACATGCCCCAGCAAAGGCATGGGCAATGGTCCAAGAGCTGGAAAGAGGAGAGCATTCCGGGGACTTTAGGGCAGGTCTACTAAGAGATTCAGGGCGAGGAGGCTTCCATAGGGCAGCCTGGGGGCAGGGGCCCACCAGGGACTGAGAACTACTAGTGCAAGGGAGAGGAGCCTGCAGACCATGAAGAGCCTCAGGCTGTGATAAGAAATAAGGACATAATGTTCCAGGTTTTTTAATCTGTGAGTGTCATGATTAGATTGTGAGTTATGCCACTCCTCTGGCTACAGTGGCAGGAGATTGAAGGGGTTGGGGCCGAGGGCAGGAAGCAGAGTGAGATGGCAGAGGATTAGGGAGGAGGATGTATGTGGGAGATAAGGATAGACTGTGGCAGAGAAAAGGGGAATTTGTTGCTTAATGCAGAAAATGGGGATAACTCAAAGAGACACAAAGAAAAAAAAGGCCTATAATCTCACAACCCCAAATAACCACTGTTAATTTATTATTATATGCCCATTTAGGAAGCAAATATATTTTATGAAAATTGTATCATGTTGTATACTAATATTTTGAATCTTGCTTTTTTTGTATAGCCATATGGCAGGTCATTTTCCTTGTGACACATATTTTATAATTTTAATGACTCTATACTATTTTATTTTATGAATGTACCAAGATATTAGTATATTTAAGAAATCATATGTTATTGGAAGTTTAGATTATTTATAAAATTTTGCTAATATTATTCTTGTATATATCTATCTTCTTTTTTTAAATATATTTTATTGAGTTTTTATAAAGAGGAAAGGAGAGAGATTAGAGAGCTAGAAACAACGATGAGAGAGAAACATCGACCAGCTGCCTCCTGCACACTCCCCACTGGGGATGTGCCCGCAACCAAGGTACATGCCCTTGACCGGAATCGAACCTGGGACCTTTCAGTCTGCAGGCCGACGCTCTATCCACTGAGCCAAACCGGTTTCGGCATATCTATCTTTTTATGCATCAACTGTTCCCTAAAGATAAATTCCTAGACATGAAATTGTTAGGAGAAAGGACATGCACATTTTAAAAATGTTTGATATACACTTCAAATTTCTGTAATAAGGTTTGTAATAATTTACATGCTGACCAGCAAAATATGAGCGCGCCTGCCTGCTTTTCCACACACAATAGAAAAAAATTTAAAAAAATAGATCAACATGTCTTGGTCACCATCAGTATATAAAGAAGAGGGGAGAGATTAGTATGATTCCTGGATTGGGAGCTCTGGCAACTGGAGGAATGGACAGTGCTACAAATTGAGATTTGGAATCATAGAGAGAGATTCGGAATGGATTTGGGGGCAAAAATATTCAAGGACTTTCAGGAAAATATGTCTGGTGGATAGTTGGATATACTTAGCTCTGAAGCAAAGGAAAGAAGTTTGGGCTACAGATATATATTTTTAAATCTTCAATATATCAGTCGTAGCTGAAGTCATAGGAGTGAATAGGGTTGTGAAGGAAGAATAAGAAAATGACCAATCCCAGAACTGTGGAGAATATCAATATTTAAAGGGGAGCTAGAGGAAGAAGAGCCATAAAAGGAGACAGAGTGATAGGAAGAAAGTCAGAGAAGCCAACCAAGATAGCATTGTTAGACAAAGGTCGGTATCAAATGTCGACACAGAAGGGAATCTCTTGGATGTAGTAACCCTTAGTAACCTGGCCCAATGGCTTCCGTGAGTAGCAGTGGGATTAAGAATGAAGGCCCGCCAGCGAGGCTCAGTGGTTGAGTGCCTTGGTTCCACTCCCGGTCAGGGCACCTGCTTGGATTGTGGGCTCGAGCCAATCAATGATTATCTCTCATTATTGTTTCTCTCTTCCTTCCTCTCTGAAGTCAACAAAAACATATTTTTTTTAAAGAAATGAAGGAAAGGCTTTTGCTTCTCGCAGTACAGTGTGGTCTAGAAAATTCTGAAAACCCTCCTGCTTCAGAACAGCAAGGTCCTGCATAAAAATTTTCATTTTGTTGTGTCCTCTCATGGAGGTGAGTGGTGAGTATACTTAGAAGACAGGCTTGTCCTGAAGACAAATGTCGGCACTACCAGCAGGAGTTTAAGTCTTCAGCTAGCTAAAGATGGAAGAACTAAACCTGCAAATTCCAAACTGAACCAGAAAGTTCAGTGATCTCTAGCTCCCTGCCCCCAACACACACACACACACACACACACACACACACACACACACACGATTAGTGTATGTATCTCTTCTATGGTGAAAAATATTCTCAAGGTATGTTTCCAGGTACCCTTTAGAATAAGGCCAATGAAAGCTGAGCTCACAAGAAGAGCTATCAGGAAACAAACCACCATGTGACAGTCAGCAGAAACAACCAACTTAAACGGCCAAGGACTTCAGATATTGAAATTAATAGTTAATGACTACAAAATAATTATGAATTTTTAAAGTAAAATGCGAAATTATTAAAATGAGCTAACAATAGGAGATTGTATTTTTTAAGTATCAGACAAATGTAAGAAAAGAACTGAATAGGAATTTTAGCAATGAAAACCATATGTGTTAAAACCAAATATTCATATTGGGATACTGGATGAGTTAAAGAACAGATTAGACACAGCTTAAAAGCCTCAGTGGAATGAAAGAGAGAATGAAAGAAATTTTCCAGAATGCAGCACAGAGAGACAAAGAGATAGGATATATGAAAGAAACATTAAGCAGTATGAAAGATAGGAGAAAATTCACACACATCCCCTTGGTGTCCTTTAAAAAAAACAAAAAGCAGAAAGAATAAGCATTATCCGAAGAGGGAAAAGCTCTGAACTTTCCAGAACTAATGAAAGAAATGAATTCACAGCCACAGAATAAATAGAAGGAATTCCACATTTAGATGCCTCACGATGAAACTGCACAACACCCAGGCTTGGGTGAGATTGCAAATCTGTGGGAGAAGATAGATACTTAATGGGACAATTGGTTATCCATATAGATAAAAATAAAATTGATCCCTAAATTACACCAAACCCCAAAAGCAATGCCTCACAGATTAAAGGCTTAAGGAAAATAAACTGTGGCTTATATTAGAGGAAAATATAAGACATTGTCTCCATTATCTTAGAGTGTGGGTGGATTTCTTAAACAAATCACAAAAGCACTACATAAGAGGTTAATAAATTCAACCATGTTAATATTAAGAACTTTTGTTCATCAGAAGATACCACAGAGAAAATGAAGGTACAACAAGCCAAAAACTGAGACAAGATATTTGCAACATGTGACTGACAGGGAATTAGTATATAGAATAGATAACGAATCATAGTTTTCTGAGTTAAAATTAAACACAGGTAGTGTACAGTCTGAAGAAAGAGCAGGAGCTTCCGACTCTGTCCTTAAGAACCACCCAGTCAAAAAAAAAAGACAGAAATGAAAACATCAGAAAACCACTCTGACTGAAGTCAAGTGCCTGGCTCTAAGCCCTAGTCTTAGATGAAAAGAAAGAAGCAAAGGGCAATTCAAATAAGAGAACTATTCAGAGGGGACAGAGGCTGGCGTGGGAATCCTTAGGCACGGGTAGTGGTTTTGAAATCTGGGACTTTTTCTGATTTATTTTTCTTACTTTTGGGGGGTAGAGAATATTCATGTGTTGTCCTATTTGGGTTTTTTTTAAATTAACTTTGGTGGAACTTAATTATTTTATACATACATTCACCAAATACCTTGGCATTTCAAACAAAGAATTTCCCATAACTTTTTAGTTTGCCTTTGGTTATTTCTAATATGTTTTGTCCTTGATATTCATCATGCATGGCCAGAACTGTTTGGTTTATTAAAATGTAGCAACTTTTTAAAATAAATGAAATGTTAAAAAGGGAGGCGGTTGGGAGACCCACCTGGGCTGACCTTCTCAATAGTGGCTGGATCTGAGTCCAGTAGGACTCCAAGGCTGGAGTTTCTGTGCACTTAGCCATTTCCTCCCCTCTCCCCTTGCACAGGGCCCGCCTAAGACTTTTCAGCGCCCTGTGGATCAGGAAGCCCTAGAGAAGATGGTTAAATGTGCTGTGCGGGACTACACCTATAAGAGTTCCATACCAGGCCACCCCTACTTGCCTGAGAAATACTGGCCTTCTCAAAAGGAAGGTAGGGCCTCACCCCTTGCCCAACTCTGACCCTATTCAGTGACCCCAACAATGACACTCCATCTGAACCCAACTTGGATCCTGACCTCTACCCGATCATATTTCAGTCTTATCTCCCCCATGACAGGTCCAGCTTGACTCCCAAACCACTTGACCTGACATTAACCCTGGAGGAGATTCAGCCCTGTCTTCTGGGAGCTCCTTGTTTATGCCAAAGAACTGGAACAGGCCTAGGTCTTATCCCCACAGAGACAGAGGAAGTATTAACCTCCTCCAAACAAATCCAAGTGCCATCTCCTCCCAACTTCTTAGTGACCCTTTTTCGTCAAGTTCCCCATCTCTCCTGCATCCCTTGGCCTTACCACACCACCCACACCTCCCCTTCCACCCAGCATCCTTTTCCATCTCTTCCTGCCTAAAAAGTCTCTCTTCCTTCTCCCCTTCATCACCAAGATTTTCAGACAGTCTGTACTCACTGTTTCTACTTCCTCGCTCCTTCTTACACCTTATGAGAAATTATCTTTCTCATTTGATTAGATGTTAATGATCTGTTGCTCTATACATCCCCAAAGAGCAGAGAGTCATGTCTTAATCACAGCTGTGCCTCCTCCGCATAAAAAAATAGCACCAAGCTTCATAAGTACTTGTTGAAAAGATTGATGACAAAATCTTCATCCAGTTGAAACTGGGGGTTTGCATCTTCTACACTCAAACATTAAAACTGCTCTTGTGTGGTTCTAACTACCACATCCATGATGCTCTTCAACCTTTACCTTACGAGACCAACCCTATGCATTTCACTCTCTGACCACTCTCTACTTCTTGAAACTCCTTCCTTACCCAGCTTCTCTGATGCCTCAACTTCCTGGGTGTCTTGTCAACTATTCTGGAAAAATTGGGTTCCTCCGAGTGCTAATCTGAGCCCTCTTCTCTCCGTACTCCTCTCCTGATACCATTTCATCTAACCAACGTCTTTACTGACAACTCCAAGTCTTTATTTCTAGCCTCAACCTCTCATCAGAATTTCTCTCTCCATCTGACTATAGTCATCTTTACATGAATGTCCCCAACTCAGTATGTCCAACCCACCAACCCGAACTCCAAATCCCAATACCATGCCGCATACACACACTTGCCCTTCCTCTAGGGCTCCTAGACCTCCTTTCCTAATGTCTCTCATATGTGTTCTTTCAGACTGTTAGGAGAGTGGATCACAGAGGGCCTTGTTGGACAAACTTGGGTGATTAGGTGAATAGGGCTTTGAAAGGTTTTAAGTAGGGAAGTGTCTTGGTCAGATTTACATCTGTTAAAAAAAAAAAAAGTGCCAGAGCTTTTGAGTAGAGATTGGATTGTGGGATTTCAAAAATGAGGTAGGGAGACCAGTAGGCTAATAATAGTTTTCTAAGTTCCAAGTATTTAGATATGCTAATTAATTTCAATGCCATCACAGCCCTATAAAGTAGACAGTACTATTACCCCCATTTTAAAATTGAGTAAACAGACACAGTGAAATTAACTCAGTCAAATTAACACACAGCGAATATCTGACAGAGCTGAAATCTGAAGACAAGCAGTCTGTCCATTCTATGGATAAGCAGAGTCCATTCTATGGATCACAACATTATATAGTCTCTGGGTTAAGGCACTGCAGAGATATAGAGAGATCATGGGAAACTGGAAGAGAGGATAGATTCAAGTGGTTTTAAGGAAGCAGAATAAGCAGACTTGGGAAATAAATGTGGAAGATGAGAGAGAGGGAGCAATTGGGAAGAGGCTCAGTTTCCAGATTGGCTCATTCAGAGAGGGTTGTGCCACGATAAAAAGCGATCAGCTCAAAGGATCCAGACCCACGTAGAAGCAAGCCTGAGGTAGAAAAAGGGCTGCAGCCTTAGCTGGTTTGACTCAGTGGATAGAAGGTTGGCCCATGGACTAAAGGGTCAAGTGCATGTACATTGGTTGCAGGCTCAATCCCCAACCCAGGTTGGGGCACATGCAGGAGGCAACCAATTGATGTGTTTCTCTCACCACATTGATTGTTTCTGTCTCTGTCTCTCTCCCTCCCTCCCTTCCATTCTCTCTTTAAAAAAAAAAAAAACAATGGAAAAATATCCTTAGGTGATTATCAAAAAAGTAAAATACAAATAAAGAAAATGGGATGTATCTCAGTGTCTAAGACAATTATGGGTCCAGGCTGGGCTTTGACTGGCCTGAGGGAAATCAGGGAGAATCCAGTTTTGTGCTGGGGATCAAAGGAGAAGCATTTAGGAAGTCCGGGATCCTGGGGTAGAATAAGGAGTAACACTGTCTTATGCCTCCACCCTTACAATCCAGCAGACAAATGCAACCCCAGCTACCTGTGTAGTGACTGGGGTAACGCATGGAGAATGGGACCTTGCTGCTGCACTGGCTGGAACAAGTGTACCACATGCCTTCCCCGGCTGCCTAAGGTATCTACTGGGCTCAGCACAGATGGCGTCTGGGCACACATGCCCACGCACCTCCACCTCCCAAACCACAGTGACATATTTCACCATTAATTACTCATCCCTTTCCCATCAGCAATGCTCCAGGCCTCCTTCCCATCGGTGAAATTGTGACACTAGGGTTTGTATTTTCCAGGAGACAAGGGAACCCAGGAGTGGAGCTGTGCTAGGTCACTGGGGCCCAGTCTCAGGACTGGCTTCACTGGGTCCCAATTTCTGGCTGGGTTTTATGGGGGATAGGCTAGTGGGCACTCCTTGACAATCTATACGCCTAAGCTTGCCACTTGGCTCCTTCCACTGGCCAAGGAGCAGTGTTAGGCTGTCTACCTGCTCTACTCTCCCCTCTGTGATGTCAGCAATGACAAAAGGAGGGAAAATCAGGCCACTCAGAGGCAATGCAGGTAAAACACAGGGGAGTGATCCAAGGGGAGGAGGAGTCTGGGGCAGCCCCGGTCTGAGGAGAGTGTGGGAGACGCTGAGGCCTCAGCAGGGCCTCTCACTGTAGGCTGATGGCTGACCTTAGGTTGACTGAACCCTTTTGAATCAGAACTTCCTCAAGGAGCAGGGCTTTTCACAAATTCCCAGGGGATTCTCATGGGCAGGCAATATTGAAAACACGCTGTTAGAGAGACGCGGAGACATAGCTAAACAGAGTCAGCTAGACAAAAAGGGGTAAAACCAAAGGAAAACGCTGAGGTAGGGCTGTCAGACGCTCAGGTGCCTACCGGGTCCAACTAGTTTCTTTCCTTCCCCTCTCCCCTCCCCAGGTAGGCGGAGTAAATGCGTTGCCTGGCGACAACTCCAAACGGGGCGGGGCAGAGAGGGGAGCGTCTGGAGGACGGGATTAGGCGCGTCCTGGGACTGGTCTGGGGTGCCGGGAGGGAGAACCCCAAAAGGGGGTCCTTCCAGGTCAGAGCTTGAGGTAGCGTGTGTGCCATTTCCAGGAAGCCGGGATGGAGACAGCAGTTCGAGGAATGCCCTTAGAGTACCCTCCTAAGCCGGAGCCACTCAATGCCTATGGTAACGGATGGGGGGTCGGGGGGGGAGGTAGAAGGGGGACGGGTATCAGGAGGCCATAAAGAGTGGGATGGGGACCTGTGGGACGAGGTGGGGGCCGAGGGCCCTGGACGCTGGAGAGGGTGTAACCCTGTCTCTGTCCCTATTCCTCTCTCTCTCTCTCTCTCTCTCTCTCTCTCTCTCTCCCTCTCTCTTTCACCCTGTCTCTTCCCATTCTTGTGACTCTGTCTGGGCCTCCGGGGCTGGGGACCTGCGGACCCAGAGCGCGAGGTGGTGGTGAACATGCTGAACTCGCTGTCACGGTACCAGAC